AGTCGGACGCTTAACCGACTGCGCCACCCAGGCGCCCCCAGGCAGTGGCTTTTAACACAAGAGATTAGAAAGAAAAACACAGCTTACTGCACAAAGAAAAACGGTCATCACAGGAGTTTCAACAACACTTTCTGTGAATATTATTACAACACTATCAAAATGAGTGTTAGCAGCCTATTACCAATTATTGGATGTAACTTGTAGCTTAAACCTAGTTCTCAGGAATGACTTTTCTAGAAGTTACTTTACACTTGATGTATCACCCTGTGCCGAAGATGTGACCGAAGATGTGAACTTCATGATCAAATCACCTTGATCAGATAAATACCAGTCTCTCTAGTCAAGGTGAGGCAAAACTAATGGAACTCAAGTCAGGAAACCAATTCTGTTTGTACTAAACACACACCCACCTTCTGCAACTGAGTAACACATGAGAAAGTCTGCTCCAGCAGGCAGTGTGGAAACTGAGGCCGCATCCACCTGGGTTATGTTGACATCCAGCATGTTTTTTTGATGATCCACTACATCCAGAGGAATGACTGGCACATCATGCTGGTCTCCCCGACATGCCTACGAGACAAGGAGGAAAACCATTTCCTTTTCTAACCTATTCTTTTCTTCCCACGGCTTAATGTTTACAGTGAATGTATAATTGAGCACATCTTAACATCAACAGAAGCTACTTTATAAAACTTCAAAAAACATGCAGTCAAATTTTAGAGCAAATTCACCTGACAGTTTTTCCCTACTCGTTTTTTTTTTTTGTTGTTGTTGTTTTTTTTAAATGCTTGAGAGAGCATGAGCCGGGGAGGGTCAGAGAGAGAAAGAGGGAGAGAATCCCAAGCAAGCTCCATACTGTCAGCCAGAGTCGGGGCTGTCTCAGAAACCATGAGATCATGACCTGAGCCAAAATCAAGAGTCACACACTTTTGACTGAGCCACCCAAGCGCCCTTTTAATTAAGGCCTTTAAAAAACTGGCATCCTCGGGGCCCCTGGGTGGCTTGCTCAGTCGGTTGGTGTCCGACTTCAGCTCAGGGCATGATCTCACTGCTTGTGAGTTCAAGCCCTGCGTCAGGCTCTGTGCCGACAGCTCGGAGCCTGGAGCCTGCTTTGGATTCTGTGTCTGTGTCTCGCTCTCTCTCTCTGCCCCTCCCCCACTCGTGTTCTGTCTCTCTCAAAAATGTTACAAAAAAAATTTTTTTTTAAATTGTCATGCTCAGTCGGTTAAGCGTCCGACTTCAGCCAGGTCACGATCTCGCGGTCCGTGAGTTCGAGCCCCGCGTCGGGCTCTGGGCTGATGGCTCAGAGCCTGGAGCCTGTTTCCGATTCTGTGTCTCCCTCTCTCTCTGCCCCTCCCCCGTTCATGCTCTGTCTCTCTCTGTCCCAAAAATAAATAAACGTTGAAAAAAAAATTTAAATTGTCATGCTCAACCGTACACCAGACTGTGTTGATTGAAAGGTACAGTGTGGAGGAGAAAGCCTCTGGTTTTGAGTTTCTTATGAAGTAACCACACCACAGCACCAGACACACCCCTTCTTTGAAAAGCTACAGTATTTGCCCAACGTTTCTGTTGAATCAGGGAATACACGCCCAGATAGGGCGGTGCTTGCCTAGCTGCTGCAATACATTGTCAAAGTAGGGCTAAAAGGACGCCACCACCTGACCTGAGAAGACCTCTTTTAATGTGCCCTTTTCCTTTCGCTTACACTGTATAGTGAGGTCTCAAATTCTTAGCCATTAATTTTCACACAAAGGCTAACGTTAATTTCTACTCTTAAATGCCTATTATGGGCTGAATTTTGTCACCCCTTCCCATTTGTATGCAGAAGTCCTGTCCCTCAGGGTCTCAAATGTGACTGTATTTGGATATATGGCCTTTAAAAAAGGTAAAATTGAGGTCTACAATGATCTTAATCTATAACTAGTGGTCTATAAGAGATCGGGACACAGAGATGCACAGAGGAAAAAAGGCAGCCACCTCCAGGCCAAGGAGAACGGGCACCTTGATCTCCGATTTCTAACCTCCAGGACCGTTAAGAAAATTTCTGTTGTTTAAGCCACCCGGTCTGTACTTTGTTCTGGCAGACCTAGTGAACCTCATCCAGTGACCTAGTAAGATTTGGTTGTGGTAAGTGCATCCCTCGTTCTGAAATGGGTTTTTGTAAGCTTTTAAAGAAAAAAGCCCGGAGTGATTTCAGAGTTACCTGATAAATAGGAGATCTCCAATATTCCATTTTTGCAGGGAGATTTTAATCTTAACTTCGTAATACCAAGCTTATTTTCAGACCTTATTTTTCACCGTCTTCCTACACCGAACACCTAGAATTTGATGCCATTACTTGCCCAATCAGTTGCAGTAAGAAAAAGAGCCAGCCTACTGAGGACTTGCAGGCGTTCGGCACTGTTCTAAGTGCTTGTTAGGCTGCCACGCTGTTTTAGCCTCACAACCAGCCCGTGAGGCAGTGCTCCTATACCCCCCTTTCACAGATGAAGAATTGGAGGCAGAGAGAAGTAACGGCAAAATATTTTCTTCCTTCGTGGCCATCTCCCCACAGCGGCTCCCAACTTTGTGTCTCTGACAGTGCTGGCCACTCCCTTTTTCCCTGAACTCCCCCCACTCCCCCATTCTCTGGACCATCCCGCTCAGTGTCTCTCCTCTGCTCATTCCTCAGTGGCGTCCCTCGGGGCTGTTTTGCACTCATTTCTCAAGCTATGCTTGGCGTGGGTAAACTCATCCACTCCCGTGGCTGCCACTGTCATTCATCTCGTTAACTCTCAAATTTATGTCTCCAGCCTAGCCAGGCTGCATGTAGAGCTGTTAACTTCCAACTGCATGTGACAGATACTTTAATGCAGTTCCCAACAAGAAACCACGATCATCCTTAACTTCTTAGAGATGTCCCTGCTCGCTTCCCTCAAGGTGTTATGGCAGGTTGAATGTGGCCATGCCCTCCATGCCGTTTACGGAAATACAGAATTGCAGCACTGGGACATCAGGAATTCTCCTTTGTTCGAACTCCTTATTGACGTGGTGAGTGAGGTTATTCGGGCCAAAAATTGTCTTCATCCCTAATACCAGCTTGAAGGAAAAAGGTGGAGGGGTGAAGCAAGCTAGAACAGGAACTCTGCCTGCGTTCTGCTCACTGGCCTCCAGGCCTGGTGCTCTTCAGTCAGAGACCCCTTCACTGACGGCTGCACCTGACACTGGGCCAGGCCAGAGGGTAGCACATTAGTTACTTTGAGTCCTTTCAAAAATTTTTAACATTTTTTGATGGGGGGGGAGGGGCAGAGAGAGAGGGAGACACAGAATCCAAAGCAGGCTCCAGGCTCTAAGCTGTCAGCACAGAGCCCGATGCAGGGCTCGAACTCACAGACTGTGAGATCATGACCTGAGCTGAAGTCAGACGCTTAACCGACTGAGCCACCATTTTGAGTCCTTTCAAATGTCAACCCAAGTCAAAAAGAAACTGAAAAAAAAAGTTTAAATTAAAAAAAAAAAAAATTTAATGTTTATTTTTCAGAGAGAAAGAGCATGAGCGGGGGAAGGGCACAGAGAGGGAGACACAGAATCCAAGGCAGGCTCTAGGCTCTGAGCTGTTAGCACACAGCCCATTGTGGGGCTCAAACTCACAAACCACAATATCATGACCTGAGCTGAAGTTGGACACTTACCTGACTGAGCCACCCAGGCGCCCCAGAAACTGAAAATATTTATTCCTTGTTAAGAAGGAACTACTACTAATTGCAACTCTGATTGACTAGGAGGCCAAAGGGGCCTTTCCAGTTACTGGAGAAAGTTACTTTCAAAATTGGCTGGTGCTCTTTATAATTACATGTATATGGGGCACCTGGGTGGCTCAGTTGTGAACATCCAACTTCAGCTCAGGTCATGATCTCGTTATTCGTGAGTTTGAGTCCCACACTGGGCTGTCTGCTGTCAGCACAGAGCCCACTTCAGATCTTCTGTCCCCCTCTCGCTGCCCCTCCCCTGCTTGCACTCTCCCAAAAATAAATCTTAACAAAAATAAAGCTAGAATTACACGTACAGAACCATGGACTTCATAGTTAGGTTGTACCATAATCAGTCTTACCTGAATAATAAATATCTTGGGTTTTCCAACTAGGCTCTGACATTTGTCTCCTTTGAATAAGCCAGTCAAAGTCTGAATTTCAATCTTGGTATCTTGTGCATAAATGTGACTGCCTTCGCCATGACTCAGGAAAACACATAAAAAGCAATCGGCATCTATGTGGCTAGAAGATGATGCTATAAAGGGCCACAAAAGTTCATACAGAAATGAAGATGTTTACTGTCTACATAGAGAAAGAGAATTTACTAATACTAAAGTTACATATGATGGAAGAGGAAAATGTGTTACACTAAATGTAAAGAGTACATAATGAGAATGTAAGGTCTTAGTCTTTAATCAAAGGGAAATTTACATCATACCGTACCTGATTTTTAACAACCTATTAAAAGTTCAAAGGGTTTAAACAAATTCCATTAACTTTTCTACAATACAGAATAATGACAGGAAAATATAATGGGATTGCTGTGGCATCAATAAAAGTTTCTCTGAATTAGCAGAGAGCTTCTTAGAGCAGACTGGAAAGACCGGCAACTACTACTTAGCAAGTGCTGTGTTCTGCTGCCCCTCCAGTGAATGCAGCAGCTTCATCATGTCTGTAGCACTTACAGCTTCCAAAGAATATTAAGACATGAGACGTATGTCCTCCAAAGCAGATGAGTAAGCGAAGTAGAAAACCTGGTAAGGAGCCAGTTAAAATTAAAGTGACTTACAGATTAAAGAAGTCTTGTATGGAGGTGCCTCAAAAAATTAAAAACGATCCAACAATTCCACCTCTGGGTATTTATGAAAACACTAATTTGGAAAGATACCTGCAGCCCCGTTGTTTATTGGAGCACAACAGCCAAGATATGAAAACAACCTAAGTGTTCATCAATGAATGGATGAAGAAAATTATATACATAGACATCTACCTTTCCCTATATAGAGATACACATGCAAGAATATTATTCAGCCATAAAAAAGGAAATCTTGGCCTTTGCAACAACATGGATGGATCTTGAGGTCTTTATGCTCAATGAAATAAATTCAAGAAAGACCTATACTATATAATCTCACTTATATGTGGAGTTTAAAAAACAAACTTACTGATAAAGAGGATAGATGGGTGGTTGCTGGTGGGTGGGTGGGGGTGAAGTGGGTTAAAAGGTACAAGACTTCCGATTATACAGTTAAGTCATGGGGATATAATGTACAGCATATCACCTATAAGAATACTGTATTGCATATCTGAAAGTTGCTAAGTAAATTTTTAAAGTCTTTATCACACACAAAAAAAAACCAACTTTTCGGGGCACCTGGGTGGCTCAGTCGGTTGAGCCTCCGACTTCAGCTCAGGTCACGATCTCGAGGCCCGTGAGTTCCAGCCCCGCGTCGGGCTCTATGCTGACAGCTCAGAGCCTGGAGCCTGCTTCGGATTCTGTGTCTCCCTCTCTCTCTGACCCTCCCCCATTCATGCTCTCTCTCGGTCTCAAAAATAAACATTTTAAAAGAATTAAAAAAAAAAAAAACCAAAGCTTTTCTGTACCTCTGTATGGTAACCAGACACTGTGGTGACCATTTTACAATGTATACAAATACTGAATCATTATGTTGTATATCTGAAACTAATACAATGTTACATATCATTTATACCTCAATTTTTAAAAAGCTCTGAGGTTTAAATAATTATGTAAATATTATAATAGTCCATTGGCAAATGACTTGAAAATCCACAGTGTGCAGTAATTATTATAAACATAAGTTGTGAAAATACCTACTGCATAGTGATGCAGAAATTTAGAGACAATATATATAAATCCAGTTTTTGTTTGTTTTGTAAATCCACAATTTGTTGAAGCCAGTAAAAAAACCTGGGTATGGAAGGAGTCAATTAACACCTGACTGCCCAGCATCTGTAGTGTTTGCAGTTTAGACTTGATTCATTCATTTCTGGAATGACCAGCCTGTTAGCGGGTGGTATGCTACATATAAATTCAGAGGCAAAATCCTTTGGAAGAGTCTCTGAATCCAGTAGTAACACATAAGCAAAGAGGCACAACCGAAACCTGTAACCCATGCTAAAGTAGTTGGTCAGACATTTTTCCAGCATAGTTAATTATCTGGATTCTGGAGAGGGTAACTGAAGCAATCCATCCCCTCAGAAGACGAACAGGAAAACTACTTACCCTCATGGATTGTGAGCAGGAGCTCCTCTGCTTTCAGATCATTAAAGCATTTCACTTCAAATCCTAGCTCTGAAAACCTGGTGACAAACTGGGTATTAGCTTACGAGCTGCTCAAAGTCGTCCTATACCCCTATTTCCCTGAGGAATCTATACGTGTTTTTATGACCTCTAAGTTGACTTTTCTTTGGAGGGGGGAAGAAAAAGCGAAATATGACAATGATAGTTCTCCTTGCTCACCCACAGCAGGAAAGGATTTACTCATACTGAAAGCTGATTCAAGTTAGGATACAGCAATGTAAATATATATGTAATGATTTTACATCTAATAGAACAAGGTTAGGAAGAAAATTCAGGCAAGTTCTCAAGGGATGCTGTGCCCAAATGAGGCTCATCCTGATACTCTATTTCATCAGTGTGGACACGTTTTGGTGAGTGTCATTTTATTAAATAGGTCATCATCTTGACGTGTGGATAAAACTAGCACCTGTGGGGCACCTGGGGTGGCTCAGTCACTTAAGCCACTCTTGATTTCAGCTCAGGTCATGATCTCCTGGTTTGTGAGTTCGAGCCCCACACTGGGAATTGTGCTGACAGCACAGAGCCTGCTTGGGATTCTCTCCCTCTCTGCCCCTACCCCGCTCACTTTCAAATATAAACATTAAAAAACAAACACAACAACTATTACCTGCGCCTAAGATTGTCTCTGTCTGCGCTGGTGCCCCGCCTTTCTGGCAGTGTTAAACGCCAGGAGAACCTCTCATGATTGAAGATTAAAGCGGTTCCTCTCCTCTTGTGGTCCATTTTGTACTTTTCTGCCGGATCAAATGTTTCACTGTTAACGAAAGGTTTATAAACAACAATCACTATGTCATATTAAATAATGAGCTCCTCCCAGCCCAAGATCAATGGGTAGGGTAGACAGAGGGCTCCTGTTTCCTCCTCCTTTGCCAGGGTGACATGATACTGGTGTGCACTGGGAAAGCCTGACAGAAATATTTCTGTACTGGTTGGTAAACAGCAGCTACCTGGAGCTCCCCACCCCCAGTCACCCCAGGGATGTCTTTTCTCCAGGAACCAGGGACAACAGCCCGCCCAGGCCCGGCTCTGGCTCCAGGGCCCATGCCACCCCCGTTGCTAAGTACTTTGGACATCACTGTAGGTCCTGAACCTCGACCAGGGGCAGCGGCCAACCCGAGGCTCTACAAGTTAGCTCTCCCAGCGCTAACACTCGCCATTCTCTGCTCTGCTGCTTCCCCGGGGCCATTCTTGCTTCTTACAGACTGATCTTGACCAGCAAAGGAAGAGACGTTTGTCAGGCAAGAGCACGTTTTTACCTCACATAGAAGG